CAGTCAGTCAGTCAGTCAGTCAGTCAGTCAGTCAGTCAGTCAGTCAGACATAAATCTCATTATAAAGGTGTATCTACAAAGGTGAAATATTAAACTGTTGGTCTGAGCTGACCTTTACTCACTAAGCATTCTTGGCATGCCATTTTTATGAAAGAACCTCCACATCATAATTTAATATAGTTTTCTTCTTTCTCACCTGCAAATACATATCAGCCAGTTCGTCCTCCTGGATGAGGTAATAAATGCGTCCCACCTGTAGCCAGGTCTCGGACTCTTCCTCTCGCTTGCCCAGATCAATAGAAATCCTTAGGCTTTGCTTGGTGTAGTCTAGAGACTTACGAGAGGATCTGCGGCATGTGGTACAAACAGCAGGAAGGAATGATTAAACCTACATTTTAGGAAAGACAACCTGAGCGGCGAGGCGGAGCAAAGGATTCACCTCTCTGTGTTGAGCGAGAGGTAGAGGCTGCTGAGGATTTCCAGATACTCTCCCTCCAGCCTCTTGTCTTTCAGCTCTCTAGACACTGACACACAGTGCTCATAGTAGACAATGCTTTGACCATAGAGCAGCATGTCAGAATATAGCCTGCTCAGCACTTTGGCCACCACCATCTGACCTGTGAAAGGCGGAGAAAAAAAGATACAACCTCTTGGCCCATAAACAAAGATATGTTGAGTTTCAGATGAAATAAGAAACCGGCATTTACGCTTGTCTGACATTTTGTGTCAATATTAGCTTCCTTCATGTGTTAATATAGAAAAGAAGGCAGTCATTTAAAAAGTGAAAGTTACAATATTTCATGGCTGGTTTGGCGCTACATTCAGTTCTAATAAGGTATAGTTCCACATTGTTAATACTGTAGTTGACTTTTTACTTACTGTGCAGGTTTCTGGCATGTAGTGCGATCAGAAGCCCCATTTCATAACATGCCCTGCTATCCTGATTCTTGCCCCTGTCCTTGTAGCTCCGCCCGAGCCAAAGGTAGGTTTGAACGTGCTCTTCATCTGTCGGGCTCTCCCAGAGCTCCAGAAAAAGGCACAGTGATCTGGTAAAACAAAATCATTACTGACAATGTGAATATTGACTCTTTCATACATAAGCCTTTGCATAAACATACAAAAAAATAAATATCTGACCTGACCAGGAAGCGCTCAGCAACTGAAGGGGCTCCTGCATCCAGTGCCAGGCAGCCCAGGTTAGCCAGCGCCAGAGCCAGATTCCTCTGGTTTCCGCTCTCTCTGGATATTACCAGAGCGGAATGGAAATGCCAGCCTGCTTCTCGGACACGGCCCTGACGTCTCAGACACAAAGCCAAGAGGTTATGGATCACTCCTCTCTGTGTTGGACTGTCTGTGCTCTGTAGAGAGATTTGCATGGACACCCATCACATATGACAGCCATTTGGAAAAGTAAAAAGCACTTTAAGATACGTGTGCCTTTTGATCATTGCTCGTCCAAACGGACGCACCTGCAGTGATGTCAGCAGTGGTTGGAGGATAGTCTGGGCCTTCTGAGCCTCGCCTGTCAGCACCAGCAGCCACCCAAGAAGAACTGAAGCCTCAAACCCGTCCTCCTCATTCATCTGTCCCCCAGACACCACGGCCTGTTGAGCACAGCGCACTGCCTTATCAAGCGCGCCATATTGCTGGTAAACTGAGGCCAAGCCCAAACACAGGTCTCTCTGAGTCTTTATGTCATCCCCCTTCTCAGCCGTAGCCAAGGCCTGCAGCAAGTAAACCACAATCTGAGCATGCAGCAGGGAAGTTCCCTCCTTCCAACAAGGGTTCAGGCGAACAGAGTTTTTGATAAACAGCTCGATCCTCTGAAAGGCATCGGGGAGCGAGTGGTCTTGACGAGAATCCAGGCTCAGAGAGGCCAGTGCTAAGTGAGGCATGTATTTACGGTGATAGAGCCAGCTCAGGAGCCAGTTGAGGTCCAGAGGTGCAATAGGCCCCCCATCGACTGCAGAGAGGGTCATCGAGAGGAACTGGAGCCTCTCGACAAAGGGCAGAGCATCGTCAGTCTTCCGGAGAAGAAGGAAAAGGCTGGAGATGTGGTAGCTGACACGAGCCTCCAAATGTTTGTCCCCCATCACCACCGATCTCCTCAGAAGCAGTATCAGCAGCTCCAGTTCGTCCGTGGAGGTGAAAGTGTGACAGGGAAGACAGAGCAGCAGGGCACTGGCCTTCTCCAGAGTCTGGGGGAGTTTGTCGGCCATGCGCTGCTTCAGGTAGACGGCGGTGAGGTTTGTGAGGAGAGCCACGAGGAGCGGAGTGTCTGAGAAACTGTCAACGCCAACGCTCAAAGCCTCTTCATAGTATACTCGTGCCTGAGGGGAGAGAGAAAGAACACCTCACCAATTGCTTCACTGTGGGAGGCAGTGTTGATTTGATGTGTGTCAACATCTTAGATGCAGCACTCACCTGAGACAGCTTCAGCTTCCTGGCGCACAGCCTGCCCAGCAGAAAGCAGGCGCGCCGGTGCGCCCACTGCAGACCCATCCTCTTAGCACTCTCTCTGATACTCTCAAGGTGTCCCAACAGCTCCTCCTCAGTCTTACCGGCAAAAGTCACCCATAAGAATGAGTATTGCAGGTCGTACAGAGGAAGAAATTCCTCCTGGTGAAACATAAAAGCAGTGGTAATTAAATAACTATTAAAGAGGCAGACATGCAACCACCACACAAGAAGATCCCTGCCAGGTTGGACCCCATTATTTTCTTGTTCTGTTCTTTAAATTTTGGCTCACGCAGCACACATAAATCAGAGAGGTATGATGGCTCCTACATCTAGTGTGTGTCCATATCAACATGCTGTCTGAATGGATCTCGGTAAGGTCCAGACCCAGAAAGGTGTGCCAATGATATGGTTTTTGAATTAGGTCTCCTGTTTGAATAACGATCACAGAGAGGACTTCCGTAATCATTTTACATGGAGTTGAATCATTTTAAGAGGTCCAAAGCTCTTCGTAAAAGAACAAGTTTTACTGCAATGCCCTTTGACCTTGTTTTAGAAAATTTAGATAAATGAAAGTGAATACAAAATGTAATCCACTGACCTGGAAGTGCTCGTGGTTGAGCAGAGTCAGTGTCGGGTCACTAAACTCAGACTCCTCCCCGTCCCAACTGTTCTCTTCCAAGAAGAGTGGTGGATCCTCCTGGTACTCGTCCATTTCCCTGAATGTGTCCTCCAGAGCAAAGGATAAGCGCTCCTCCCGTGGCAGAGGATTGTAGGACTGGTAGAAGGACACACGAGGGGAGGAGTAAGAGAGAGAGGCACGGGGGGAGGACTGGTAAGGTGGCGTCCCTCCACTTTTCTCTGACATGACGCTCTGACGGGCGCTTGAAAGAACTTTATGATCTGTGAGGCAAACAGATGAAACTGTGTTAGTGCGTGACGGACACGCGGATGAAACAACTGCTTTCTGAAACTGGTAGAATGCAGCATCCTCTTACAGAACATTACCGTGTTTTGGCCGATTGCGGATATACATGAAATCAGTTTCATCCAGCCTGTCTGGAAACACACAAGGTAAATCAATTTAAGCCTTCATTTACCAGATGGGACTGGAGATGGAAACAATTTTTCCCCTGAATCAATCACAAACACTATAGAGGAAAACAACCATGACCTACATTTCAGTTTTACCTCTTTGGAATGCCAGGTCGCTTTGTTATGGCTGACAAAAAAAAGAAAATCAATATTTCTTGTTTAGTGAATTCCTTTTACCTAGTCTGTACACAGAGCTGATGTCAGACGAGAAGAGTCTTTCCAGTAAGCTACTGTCACTTGGCTCAGAGCTACATGGGTTAACCTGAGCCAGGCTGGCCTTCTCCTCCTCGGTGAGAAAGACCAATTGTCCGTCTCTGTGAGAAGGAAACAAGGGCAGCATTATAATTTCAGCTATCTCCCTGCCTCATCGCCTGCTCCAGCCCATCCAGACTCCAGGCACACTAAATGGGAATTCCTAAAAGGAAAATACAAGACTGTAAAGATGTCCCATACGTGAATGTGACTGAGATAATTCTTTTTAAAGATCAAGTGACGCACATTGTGAGAGGACATACAAATTAAGATGATATAATTAACTAAAAGGCGGAACTCCTTACAGGGGCATTGTGATCTCAGACTTGACGTGAGCCTTGTGCACAAAGCCAGTGCGACCAGTGGACGTGTGTTTTCCAATAAAAACCCCCAGGCCTCGCAGCAGCAGACCATGAATCTCGACAATATCCCCTTGACTCAACTGGAGCTCATCTGGGTTTGATGGACTGTAGTCAACAACTGCCACACACGTGCCTGTCACTGAGGGATTAGATTAGGAAAACAAGACAGGGGCATTAGGCGTGAGACGTTAAATGCACCTTATTCTATAATCAATTGCCTGACAATCACATTAGTCACAATGCGTGTTCCAACTTCATAACTTGTGTATTTTGTATGAACAGTGACATCGTATGCAGAGCAGCTTTACCGATAGGATGTTCAAAAAGTTCCTTTTCTACTGGCGAGCATCCAGCATGGCTCGGATACTTCCTCAGGAACCACCTGACCAAACAGGAAGTACACTTTAATTTGCTGACTACTGTTTAACTGTTTGGAATTGAATGCAATTCTTTTCATTCAGAGAAAATTTTAACAAGATAATATGGTAATCATGATAGAGCGTACAGTGTAGCATAAATCAACTGATTTGAGGTGGATCATAAGAGGAGCCAGTATGGTAACTCACTGATAAAAGGGGTAGGGCAGCGGCTGCATGCCGTCGACCGGCACCAGGCCGTGGTTGCCCGTGGAGAGCATGGTGGCCTCCCACATGTTTTCCTGCCCCGTATTCCTCACCATCAGCAGGTCGTTCTTTTTGAAGGACATTTCATCTTCTGCCTCCTCCCGGTCATTTCTACTGAACAGCGCCTTAGCAAAGAAGGAGCCTGCAACGAGACAGGCGCAAGTCAAGATACACAAACAGTTTTCAGTCAGTTGTGTTTGTAAGAGTTTCAAGAAACAGCTGCCACGGTGAAGATATTGTGCACTCATCCAGTCAATGGGAAGGGGTGGATGATGGATGTTTTATGTCCACCGTGCAATTTTCATTATTAACTGCCGGCACCGCCGTCATATTATATGTTCGGTAAAGCTTCTTACTTGGGGAATAGTAGTGATGTCTGCCTATACAGGGCGTGGAGAATCAATATGCATTAAGGGAGGAAGTGTTGAAACCAGGTACATGCTGGAATGTTTTTTTTTTTTTTAATTGGAGAGCCCTGTTCGTCAAGTTCAGGATCATTGAAAGGGAAGAGTAAATCTCAGCCGTCACAGATCAAAGGAGCAGTGCCCCATAGACAGGTCACCAGTTTGTGACTACCATACAGAGACAATCAAGTTATGGAAGGTTCACCACCACAAATCCCAGGAAGAGGGAAACTTCATTCAGAACTACCTACGAATCAGAAATCTTCTTGCTGGTTGGAGACAGTGCAAATCAGTTACTTCACCACTAAATCTTTCGGTGGTGTTTTTTTTCTTTTTCTTAAAGGTCTCTCAGTGTTAATTAGGGTCATTAAGAAGTTAATTAAAAATAGTGGTGTCAAACAGTAACATTAATACATAATTAACCATACAGAATCAAGGTTGCTTAGGTTAATCCTCCTTTAGATATCCTTTCAAATCTCCATATAAAAATGGAAATGATTAATTTTTGGAATGCTGAGAACCGGGCAGTAGAAAGACAGAAGAGTCAGGGGCAAGGTACAGATTTATCTAGACTGTCCCTTTGTCCCTCGTGTTACAAATATTTACAAAGATATTCTGTACATACTGTATGATTGTAATGAATCAGCAGCACCACTGACCCTCTTGGAGAAGAAGTCCCAGGTAGATTGTGGCCAGATGTTCCTCATCCACCTTGACATTGATCTCCAAGTCACTTAGTAGCTTTGGGTCCAACCAAATTGATTGATCGCACAGGAAGTTCTCCAAGCAACGAGCCACATAGCCTGAGATACAGCAAATTAAGCTTAGAAAAATAATAATCACCTTTTATCAATAGTAAACACATTATTGCATGCATTAATATGATGAGAATAAATGGCAAACATCCTGCCATCATAAGCTGTGAAATCATCATAAATTGAAACTTGGAAACTCAAGTGTCAACCAGAAGGAATGTACATGAATCCTACCTAATGAAAGGTACGTTGAAAACTTCCAGATCTCCTCCACAGTCTTGAATGTGAGCACAAAGCTATCCCTCTCGGCGTGGACAGAGACCAGACGTGCAGACAAGTCCTGCAGAAAGTCTCAGGTTACATTTCATCTTAAATGCATTTCACTTCAGACTCAATTATTTGAAACTGCACTGAATGAAATAATACAGTTGTACAACTGAGGCAAGCAGTGAGTGTAATTTCTGACCAAATTCAGTTAAACAATCGAAACAACATTTTTGCAGCTAATGTCTGTGCTACCAAGCTTTTGTTTTAATATGTTTTCTTTACATTTGTACATTGGAATAACGCAATTGTCTAAAACAGATTAATTCAAAGTAACAAAAAAATTGACCAGACTAAGACTCAGAGTTTTCATGTGACAACGTTTAAAAGAGCAGTAAAGGGAAAAATAAAAAGAGCAGTAAAGTGTTCGTGACATCAGCACTCTCGGGTCTCACTTTAAAGAGCTGTGTGACATCTTTGCTGTTGCTCTCCACCACTCTGAGGCGTGTGCGCAGTGTCTCCTGTAACGCCCGGTCGGGTTGTTCGGTGGAGCGCCTCCGCCCAGTGAACAACAGCACAATTTCTAAGTGGCAGACAAACATGGTCAAATCAATAGTAATCTTCTTAGAATACATCTTACGGTGGGTAAGTGTACGGGGAAAAAAATAAATCTAAGAGCAAATAAAACCCGGTACCCTGTTTCAACACAAGGAATTTCTCTGAATTTCTTTTCTAAATAGGGAACATTTTTTATCAAACCTGAATAGTGCATTTTGTCCTAGACGAACGAGACTACAAAAACTTTTTGTAAATTTTATTAAAGACGATATGCAAGTGCTTTTACTTCAGATATGCTTTGTGAGCACAACGTAAGTCCCTTGAGGCATAGCGAAGCTATTAGGCCATGAGATTGACTTCCAAATGCGGCCATTTAAATCCATTGCAGAGGAAGAACCTGGGAGAATTTGATGGATGAAGCTAAAATGCTGATTGAGTAAAACATTAGTGAACGTAGAATGGGCCTCATCATTATGCATGAAAAACTTAGTGATGGGAAATGCCTGTGTGCATAAAATATGGTTTAGACATACGGATAGGGAAAGGAATTCTCCAGTTGAGTGACAAAAGAAGTCATGAAAATTGTGAAACTGTACCTGAGGAGAATTTCTCGCCAAGAGAGACAGAACTCCCTCTGAGGAAGGCCTCTTTCTTCCTCCAACAGCTGTCATGCTCCACCACTCCTTCACCAGATTCTCCGAGCGGGCCCTCCTCCTCCTCACCTGCTCATGAACAGGGAGCGAGTTCAAGGAAGGGAAAACAAGATCTTTTTAGGTTCAAGGACAGTGTACCAAACCTTATCCACTGTTGGTAAAACAACATCCAGCAGTAAGAATTTAGCTTTTTGTTGTATGTGGAAACAGTTGAAAATGGTCATCACGTGGACAGTTTCAACTGGGTTTCAAAATAAATGGAAGTCCCACACTGGGTTGGGAACTCAACTGCAAATGTTACAGAATAACACTATATTGACATTTCAAAATATGATTTCAGTTATTGGTAAAGCATCTAAATTTAAGTCAGAATTCCCATTTATTCTCTCTCATACTATTTATGTGCATTTTATCTGTCATAAACACAAAGTATGCAGACCAGCATATGTTAAGAATGGTCTATATTTGTAATACCATTTCTTCTTAAGTAACCTCTTGTGAACTGTTGAACCAATGTTATAATCAAAATAATATGGTCCTTGGTATAAACAAAAAACTTTCAACATTTGTTACATCTGGGTGTCAACAGTTAAAAGCTTTGCATATTATTTCACCATCCAACCCACCATTGCTTTTTATGAGAACCTTTCAGATGAAATCTCTTGTGAATGATATTGACAGGTATTTTATTTCTACATCTATGTCCCTTTGCTGTTGTGATAATTCATAAGGTATGGCTTCTTTGTCATTTATCCATTACTTCAGCTATTATCCATAGCCGTTAAACACAGTTTTGACAGTCATGAAACATGTTAATGTGAGCTACATTGAAGCACACATGACAGCTGGCTACAATATATATTTTTTGATAATGTGGTGACGGGTTTCCTTTGGTTTGTTCCATTGTGCAGGGAGGATATCCCAAACACTTCCTTAGTTTATGGCCAGATGGAAAGTTGTACTGCTGTCTTACAGAGAACTCATGAGCTTTTTGCACTCCAAAATACTACAAGGCTTTATTACAATTAATGGCACTGCTGTTTCTGCTAAACGGCTACTGTACCTTGAGTCATTTTCTCATTTCCTGAAAAGTGTTCATTGGTTCCTCCAATCGTATATGTTGGCTCCCTCCAAAGAGCATCCAGTTCCGCAGGAGAAATGTCTGTAAAGAGAGAGGAAATTCAAAAGACATCCTTAACACTAAGAAAAGAAATTAAATCAGTAGATGAAACATTAACTATAAGGGTTTCATGAAAAGAATTTGAAGAATTTAGGAATCCAACCATTAAGTTATGAAAATGGGGAAACATGCATATTTGCTTTCTTAATGCTGCCACTCAAACCTGTGTACACTAAACATGAAGCAACAGCCAGCAGCCACTTAGCTAAGCTTATAATTGCCATGAAAGAATTAAAAGGAAACATTAAGCCTGCCCTACCCAAATTAAACAAAATCTGCTTGTCAGCACCTCCAAAGCTGATTATGTGTTATGGCGATGTGAGCAAGCAGCTACTATGTAAGGCTATCATATCAAGATTTGAAAAAGAATTTTCAAAAGTATTAGTATTAGTTGTAGTTCTTGTTTTCAATCTAGCTTTACTTGTTTTTAACTAAGCCCAGCTAAACGTCCACTGGCTGTATGTTTAGTGCACATGTATCATCTCATCAAGGCAAGAAAGCATATTTAACAAAAAGCTATCAGTTCGAAGGAAACATGGTTCTGGACAGGGACAGTGTTAAAACTAATGGGGGACGGATTCAGCCATTCCACTGGAGACAACAACTTTGAGCTCTTGGTTAGTTTGAGGTGTCATCATGTGATAAAGTGGCGCTGAACACACATAGGCCTGCTACACACAGCAGCACTGACAGAGGATCCTTCAGCTGCCCGCCACCTGACTCTACACAGGAGCACACTTTCATGTCAGCACGGTCATAGCATCAGAAAAAAAGGAATAACTATTAACTACACATGGAAAAACAGAAATCATTCTTCTATTAGAATGGCTTTTCTTTGGGTTTTAACATGCTTTGTCAGTGCAAACTACACAACGGAGGATTATTATCCTGATGCAGAGCATTCACAACAAGACAATGGGGAGCAAGACAATATGCAACATGACATTATGCCAAAAACAGGACAACAGGCTATTCTTTCCACCAGAGCACAGTTAGCACCAGCAGGATTCTTTGAGTCAACACAAGCGGAGTCATGCTGCTACACTGCAGGATCACACCATGCTCTTTTTACCTTCTTGGCTAAGTGTGTTACCCATGTTGTATATTGACCTATGTTCCTGCCTATCTGAATGCAGCAGTCCCACTCATGACAGCACAGCATAGACATTGGGCTTGGACCAACCTGTGAAGGAGGAAAGGCAGACTTTGATGAGCGGCTGACAACAGGACGAGTTGAGAAGCGGTCTGCAGCAACAAGACGCCATCTGGCCCAAGAGTCGGCAGCTCCCAGAGATCAATGCCATCCCATCAGCTCCCCTCAGCCTCTTTAACAGTACCTCACTCTCTTCCTCTGTGTTGCACAACCTCTGGTTCCCTTCCTATTTCTGTAGTCCCTTTCCTGTCCTGCTAACTCTGTCTTTTGGCCACTTTGTATTAGCAGGATTAATCTCCCCTGCAACCCTTATCTTTATTCCTTCTCTATCTGCTTTGGGTCTGCTTCAGATTGTAATATTTCTGTCTCCATCTTCCCCCTCCCACCAGTCCCTCTCTCTCTGCTCAGTAGCTGCCCAGACAGCCAGTGAATGCACAAAGCACTCTCTGCAATTGGAATGAGTGTGTGTGGGGGGGCAGGCCTCAGTGAGAGTTTCCCTATGTGTCATCTGTTTGTGTGTGCCAGCGAAAACTATGCACAGAATGTGTGCCACAGTGACAATGTGAGTGCCTTTTGTGTGTGTGGTACTGGGATAACGTATTGCTGACCTGCTGTAAGGCAATGCCACAGGGGGACAGGCCACAAGGTCGAGGCAAAGTGGGGTTGAGAGTTGCCTGAAGGTACATACTCAGGTTCAGAGATTAAAATGCGGAGGCTAAACGATGTAGACTGAAAGAGGGAACCGGACGCCACAAAAGTGTGTCGTGTGACACATCAAAATTTAAGAAGAAAATAGCCAACCATAAAACAATGGCCTCATTCAGGATTGGAATTTCTTAAAGTTATTTTAAGAAGTGATACTGAAAAAGCACATCTTGGTTATGGTGCAGGTATAGACAGAGACCTCCAGTTTAAATGTGGTTATTTCAATACAGTTCATCTCACAGTGAGAGCAGCATTTTTTATTTTTAATATGGATATTTAATAATCTGATTTACATTTTACAGAGTGTAGCTGGCTGGCAAGTACATGTCTCCATTCATTTAAAGTTGCAAAGAAATATGTTTTGGGCCACAGGAAGGAAGTGTAGAACCCTCACAGTGTAAACCCTCACATGGGATAACAGGAACTTTACATAAAACCAGGAATTGAACATATTGTTTTAGTTCAACCATGTTTGACTTTTACTATATATGATAAACATGTTAGTCTGAATTAAACTATTCAAAATCAAACCTCTGAATGCTGGACTAACATTTAAGATCACACAGGGGGGTTAAACGCTCCCACGTGTGTACACTCAGACTTCAATGAGTGTAAGTGCTAAAGTGCACATGTTCCCACATCTCGCATGCCCTAACTTTTTTAATCTTTGCAAATAGATTGCAGTAGCACAATTAACTATCTCCATAGAAATCTATGACGTGGGGTTAACTCAAGCTGTTTTCTAGGCATGACTCTTTTCAGGTGTCATGGATTGACATATGAAAGTTTAAACTTTCATCATGCTTTTCAGTGATTTTTGGGATTTTTACTGTTGATCTAGTGAGGGTGAGTATAAATTACTGGTAAAAGCCAACTTAACTCCCAATCCTGTGATTTCATATATATATGCATAAGAAATCATTAAAAGGCTGAGTCATGATGCCACATAACTGGGAATTGAAAAACTGGCAGTGTAACTGTTCTGCCTGTCATGGAAACACTTTTCTGGATGCAAGAATTTGCAGTTTTCACTCTGCTCACTGAAACCGACAAAGAAAAATGACAATGGGGAAAAAATATATTAATTCTGTGAAAACCACAACAGAAGTGCTGCACTGCAGGTTCATTGAGTTCAGTGTTGTGAGTCCAAAGTTGAAAGCAGCCCAGAATCATAATGAAATAAATGCATTGTACTTTTGTAAACTATTTGTAAGCCAATAGGTTTGCAGATCATAAACTAAACCTAATTTGCTTAATCAGAGCAATTACTTTAGTGGGTTGAATATATTTTTCACTCTCTGTGAAGTCTCAAACTCTTCTCTTTTCTCCTGGTATAAATGGTATACATCTCATTGCCTACTGTCATCTCTTACCACATGTCATTTGTGTTCCTTATTAAGAAATGTTTTTCTCCTACATTAGTATTCTGAAGACCATGACTCTAATATGCTTGTTTGGCATCAGCAGTTTTATCTTGTTTGTGTGGTGGCTGAATGGTCATGGTTGGATATTTGCACGTGTCTTGTGATGCAGAAAGCTGTAAACAGGCAGAAGGCGTGTCAGGACATATCCAGACACTTGTCAGACTCCCCTGCTTGCGTCTCATGGTGAAATAGATCTCTAATCTAATAAACACAGACCTCTGGAGGCTGATATGTCAGTCACATGCACAGGCCTTTGTTTGCACAAAAAGCTGTACACGGGTCAGAAACTCTTCATGGTAACAACTACATCAAAAGGCTGTCAGTAAAACAATGCAACTCTTCCTCTGGTGATGCTCTATAAGTTTGAATATCCTATTTATAGAACACCTGGGGGTCTAACTATTGTTTTCTGGCAGCTGAACATTGAAAATCCTTCCTCTTCTGTGGCATGAAAAACTGAAGCTCAAACTCTGACAAACAATGCAAATGATTGCATACTTTTAAAGTCATGAGCTCACTGGATGGTGCCCTTAATGATGGGGTTGTCAATTCTAATGACCACATGCCATAAATGACCTGATCGTCTCCACACAGTCTGAAGCCACATTGAAATCTTGGGCTACAATCGTGACACTTGGCAGTCCATGACAATAACAGTCAGTCAAATGAGAAACATATGCTGTCTGCCCTAGCTGCACGGCTTGAATGCGTCTGAACATGTGTGGACAACATGGGGTTTGTGGATTTAGAATATGTGAAAGGAGAGCAACCAGAGGGTAACATGAGAGGAGAGTAACAGGCTCTAAGTTTAGATTAGCCCCCTATTTGCTCGTTCACATGCCTGTGTGCCTGAGCTAGAGCTCCCTGCAGGGAGATTCCCAGACTGCAGCTTACTCTAAAGCAAGCACTCCAAATTTAAGAAGAGATTTCAGGCAGTTTGGGGAGAGATGAGCTTTATATTTGTGACCTGAATTCTTTCATCACCCGCTGTGTAAGAATGGTCTTTGGGAGACACTGGAAACTTTTACATAGTGTCAACAGACCGGTGAAAAGAATGAGCAAGCAAAATTCCTATTTGACAATCACAGCTTGCTTTACACATACTGTGGAATGACAGCAACTTTATGGCTGTGTGTCAAAGTACAAAGTGCAGCGGCCTCAGCTGGAATGAAGCAAGTTTTAGAGAACTTTTCAAAGAAAACAAACTCTTACCTCTGGTTTACTGCCAGCTTTCCTCTCTCAATTCATTCCTCTTGGTTTGATTTCAATGAACTCCTGAGTCTGTCTCTTAAAGCCCTTTCTAGTGCGTCTTTCTCACCTTAAAACTGGTGGTCTGCATTTCATGATAGCAGCTAAAATTGTTGTCATCCTCCACTGTCAAAAGCAAAAGGGGAAAGAATAAGTAAGTGAGGGTTTGGTGGAGTGTGTTTCGGGAGCTATACAGCATGTCACTGACTGAGGAAGTTTTTGCTTCAACTCCTCCCATCTGTTTTTTTTTTTTTTGGGTGGTAGTACGGCCCCTTTCCCTTCCTCGCCTCCCCCATGCATTCACAAACATATACACACATTAAACAACATGTATACACTTACGCTCTCTGTCATAAGCTGGACACCTTTGAGCCAAACATACTCTGCCAGTACTTAAAAGGTCAAGTTATAAATGCAGTTTAACTTGTTTAGTGCTACCATGGGTTATAAGGTACCTCTTTCCATTTAGAGAAGCTGCTGCACAATAACGTAAAGCCTATTTCCTCATACTCAATAACCAGTCACACCAGCCCAGCCCGGAATGACAAAAGCAGATTAGAGACACAATCAGCTGGTTTGACCACTTGTAAAGTACAGGCTTACAGGTTGACGTGTCTTCATTCCAAAGATTTACTTTTACAAATTCCTCTTACTCAATCCACACACAAAGAAATTTCAGCAATGTGCCAGCATGCACAAAAAGAAAAGATGGGTGGGTTTTAACAACTGGCAACCCTTCCCCCAGCATTTACTGCTTGGGTTATGTGCATCTCCACCTAGCCGAGGGAAGGTAAAATGATCATAAGTCAATAACACACATCAAGTTTAGGTTGTTTTATTCACCTGTTTATTGCGCTTAGTTAAACGTCAACTAAAAAGGCCGAATCTGAAATGCATCTCCAGCCCTCTGCGCACCATTACAATCTCACCCTGGGTTTTAGCCGTGTTCTGCACATGTGATCACACAACTGGCTATGCATGGCAGCAGGACACGGACCATTTACTCTGCTCCATTTTCAAACGTGTGTGTCTGCAAGGTAGACGAACAGAAAGAAATGTAAAGTGGGTGGACCGCCGATAACATTACGGCTAATTACAAATAAGAATGGGTGGACACTGCAGTGCGGCATAACAAGAGTTCATTGGAAATTGTGTGCGTGTTTTTTTGTCTATGTGTTCTTCTCCAAACCATGCTAATGAACCACGGGCATGGATTGTGAGCCCTTGTGAAGAATGCGGAATATTGCTGATCAGGTCGACTGATAGCGGACACATGGCCTCTGTGTGACTGATAAACAAGAGACAGAAAAACGCAGAGAGGTCGATTTTGTCCAAACAATGTAGCAATACATGAGTCGCGCGGCTCGACCATGATCATGTCTGTGTCATGTGTTCGGCAGCCTCACACAAAGCACTGTTTGTGCTGACTGCGGTTGTTTTATGCCGCCAAGCACATTTAAAGAGATTCCTCCGAGCGGGAACGGATCGACACAAGGCTTGTCCCAGCGAGGACACGCGCTATTGTCAGCCCTGGACTGCTGGCGCCTTCGCAGACAGTGACAACACAAAGCTGACCTGATGGCCTCCTGCCCCGCTGCCTTCAGTGCACAGGAAGGCAAGCTTCCTGTTATTTCTGCCCCATCAGTTTGGAAGGCAAAAACACGCTCACTGCCGGATTGACACAGGAGCACAATCAGCAACTGGCAAATGTCAGTTTCAGGCCATCAAAGCACCCACCCACACACTTTAACAGCCAGGTAAAGAGGCCCGTTTCAGTCAATGATTCCCTACCATCCCTGAACGAAATCTAGAGCCCTTTCACGTAATGTCTTGTCATTTTTGTGCTTTTTCTGTGTGTTTACCTGCAATATTTTTCTTTAGTCATATCAATAAGATATGATAAGTTCATGGTATAACTTGAATGTGTTCAAAAGATACTTATGATACTTTCATGATACTTTCTGCATTCTATCTATACAAGCTGGAAACCTGCAAACAAGCCGTGCACGGAGTTGGAAAAAAATCAAGGACAAAGATCAAACATCGTATGCGGCTGACAAGTTACAGGACTGATGCAGTAAGAGAGCAAGTAGAAACAGAACGAGGCGCCTCTCACATCCCGCCATTGTCCAGCTTCCTAGTGGTTTCATAGCCAGGGCTTCCTCAGGACACAGTGCCAGGGCGGTTTGTTGGCTTGAAAACAGTAGCATACTCTGATAAGTGCAAATGCATAGTAACACAGGGTACGAAATGAGTTGACTGTTCAAAATAGTTGTTTTTGTGGATTGGGATGAGCCCATTTGCCCCTATTGGTCAGAACCGATTACACATAGAAATTTATTGAATGGCCTTAGATGAAATCTAAGATTCACTGATTCTAAAATGTACTCTTTTTTTCTTTCATCAGATTTCTTTTTTACTTAGCAAAGTTTCTCTTTGTCTAAGCATTTCAAATGCATTCTACTTTGTCTCTTTTAAATCAGTTTCTCTCAGTCTATGTTTTCACCAACCACCGGCGCTGCTTTCATTATATTTTGATTGTTTCTGTATGATTAATTGCTGCTTTGCAAAGAACGGATGGGTGTTTCACTGTAACATGGAGATCTTTCCACATTGATACCACTGGACTCTTTTAAGACAAACAGAACAGTGAAACATGCATGATGGTTTTCTCACAATCCTTAAACATGTAGCCAAGAAGTCAGAGTTATTAATTAGAGTTGAGGCGTGACTTCAAAGGCCAGTTGAAATACAATTAACCTGACCTCCTCAGAAGGCTTTCCATAGTAAACAATCCAATTAACTAATTTGCTTACGTCAATTTACCAGAAGAGGGCGGTGTCAGAACAGTTTTAGCAACAAAACCCAGACCGGCACAATGACAACGTTCAGATTCTTTGGAAAAGCTCCAGCAAAACACTATTTATTGACCAAATTTTTTGTTTAAAGGTTACTTGTGTTATCTGAACTATTCTGATGACTATCAAATGGCAAACTATCACTATTAGATTATTACATTAAGTCGAAATAACCTCAGAAACCGCTTGTCTTTGTCCTTGTATCCCTTCACCTGGAGTAAACAATGGAGACAGACTTTTAAACACTTAACACTTGTTGACGAGTGTAGGAAGCTTTTGTGTCCCTGTAGTGTTGACATCAGCCCACAGTGACGTCGCCAACATAGGATGAAACGGAGAGTAATCAAGTGACACTTTGAGTTTTATTTAAGGACCGGAAGTACCGTATTCCGTTTACAAAATAAAACCAGACGGCCGATTTGCCTATCTCAGCTGACACAGGGTCAGAAGCGGGGTAAACCCTGGACAGGTCGACGGTCCATTACAACCACACACACTCACATTCACTCCTGGAGGGCCAATTGCGAGAGTAAGTCCTGGGTGACCGTGTTACAGGTTTTAGAAGCTTTCCCGCTTCAACACGCCGTGCCATTATAGGCTCGTGCAGAGCTTTCAAACTGATACGTTGAACAAGAGCCTTCGAGGAGATGAGTTGGGCACCTCTGAACTTACCATGAATGATTTTGGACGGTGGAAAGAAGCAAAAGTAGCCTACCGGCAGGGAACCCACACAGAAAATGTCACTCCACGAGGGCCTTATTCTGAAAGCGAACGCCGCAAAGTGTTTCCGGTATTTCTGTTGACAGCGCGTGAGAAGCGCACAGGAAGACGCCAGGGGAGCGCGGCGGAGCCGGAGGATCAGCCGGGAGCGAAAATGTGAAGGTGGAATGCAAGTGAGCGGCGTCGGGGCTTTTTTTTTTCTTTTTTTTCCTTTTTTTTTTAAGACACTGGCGTGGGTTTCACTGAAGTAGAAAGCAAGAAAAAAAAACACGCAACCGACATTCACACAGCAAGAACGGGAGTTTTTTTTTTTGGATGTAATTACAGGAATTATCCTCGCTTATATTTCTGCCACTATATGTTTGTATCCTTATTTCTACCAGCGTTCGCTTTCTCATGAAATTCCCTGGAAGCGGGGTTTCTGACAGTGAGGAACATCATTTGCATTCACTGGATATTCATTTTCAAGTGAACAATATTGAATAAGTGAACCGCCGCATGTAGATTTCCCCGTGTTTTATGGAATCGTTTTTTGACGGAGCAGCTTTGTTTTGGATAAGAGCACGTTGGGCATCATGAGTTCCAGTGGTAAGTCCATTCTTGCGCGCTTTATCTGTCCGTTAAAGGTGCAAGGACAATGCTCAACCTTGCAATTTATCGTAACATATTATGTATTATCTGTTTTTCAATCTTCTTTACTTATTTTTTCCCATCAAAAGAAATATTGCACGATCGTAGTTTATTTCTTAGTCAAAATATATGTTTCTCGTCATTGGATGGACAGTGGAGCTAATTATATCTGGAGGTCAAAGTGGCCTTTGCCCTGGGTTCATCCATCATAGAACATTTCTAGAATTCTTCATACATAGGACAGCTATGTCTAGGACCCTCTGGGTGTCTTCTGCTTCTTTGTTCTGCCACTTTTCTTTCATCTTCCTCTCCCTCCTCATCATCTTCACCTCCTCTCTCCTCAGACCTCACAAGCTTTCCTCTCTTTCTTCCTTGTAAAAGCTCACCTGTTTGCACACAAATACATATCAAAACGGAGACGCCCTTCGGCAGGGATGTTCGAGACCTGATCACCTTTTGGCCTGGTTGAGTTTGGAGTGTGTGTGATGCAGCATGTGACATGAAACCCCCCCCACACAGCCCCGCGGGCTCCGGTCATCCTTTCCCTGGAACGACCAGGGGACAGTCATGATGCTAAGCTGACCTTATGTCAGCTGACTCTGACCCTGATCCTCTGTCTGCTGAATCAGGGCTTTCCCTTTGTGGCTGTGGGGGGGGATGGTGTGGGGGGTGGTGAGGTGGTGTGTGTGGGGGGGGGCGGAGAGGATCAGATGTGTGAGCGCACAAATCTACTTTGTTGTGTTTACTACCCATCAGAGTTGATATCCAGGTTAGAGCAAAGGTTTTATTGTTTACATTTGAAGACAACAACCCCCCCCCCCCGTCCCTGTCCCCTACAGTCTGCCAGGTTGGTTGCAGCTGATGTACACCTGGTGCTCAGAGAACTCGTGGTGTTGGGCGCTTCCTGTCCACCCTCCGGTGTTACTGCATCATTCATAATCTAGCCTGTCATTGTGTGGCGTTGCATTATTCATCCGGTGTACTCTGAACTCAGCTGAGCCTCGCCT